GGCGGGACTGGGTCTAACCACCCCTGGCACCCGGCCGCACCTTGTCCAGCCCCCCATGCAGATGACTGAGGTCGGACCCTCAAAATGGGGCAGGTGTGCTGAAGGCTGTGGTTGGAAGCTGGGAAGCCTTCCGGAAGGAGGCCAAGGCACCAAGGAGACCCCCCCAGGGGAGACTGGGCTCAGCTGCTAGCAGCCACTAGGGAACTGGCCTGGTTGTCCTGGGGAAGGAGGGCATAGGCAGAGCTGGTGGGGGGACAGGGCAGGCAGCAGGGACCACGTGCCTCACACTACCCTTGGGAGCAAGACCCTAACCACAGAAAGGGAGGGACAGAACCATCAATGGTGCACTCAGGGCTCAGAGAGGGTCAGGCTCTGCCTTAGGTGACATAGCAGGTCCGACACAGCCAGGAACAGGAAGCTGGGCTGGGGGGACGGGGACAGTCAGGGCCATACAGGGAGCCTAAGGACCCAGCCAGGGCCCTTGTCACCTCCCTTGCTCTCATCCCCTCTGCCGCAGGGCTTCAGGCCCCCATACCCAGGCAGAAACTCAAGCCCCTTCCTATCCGGGGAAGAATGGGAGCCCCTCCTCTCTGACCGTAACCTGCAGCCCTGCCGCTCCTCACAAAGCAGGAAACAGAGGCAGAGCTGGCCGGTAATGCCCTGGGTCCCAGACCAAGTAGCGTGTTTCAAGGCATGTCCTCTGACAGGCCCAGAGCGCAGCCGGAAGGTGTGGAGACGGGCCCTGGCGGTGAGTCATTTGGCCCTGGCGGTCCAGGCCGGCCCGGCCGCTCACCTGCCTGCTGGCCTGCCAGACAGGCCCTCTGGAATGTGGCCCTGGGACACCGCGCCCCGCAGAAGTTACCGCTGACGTGGCTGCGGCCGGGCCACCCAAGGGGATGAGGCCCCCTGAGGTGTGGACCATCTCTATCCACGAAGATAGCCACAGAGCGGGGAGCCTGACCTGGCTTCCACCCAGCCAAGTGACCCTGGACAGCCCTGGGCCTCTGCCTCCCCATCTGTCAGCCGCGGACAGACTCAGCCAGGCTGACCATAGCCAGAAGCCCAGGCTGGCAGCACCCCCCACCCCATCCCACCCCCAGCTCAGGTGTCCTGCCAGGCCCACGGGCCCTCCTGGGTTTGTGCTGGGGAGCAGTTGCTGTGGGCCACAGCCACGGCTTCTACGCCAGAAAAGGGCTCCCCCAGGGCAGGGCTCTGCCTCTCCTCCACAGCCCCTACCCTGCCCCAGTTCCAGTGCCCCGTCCACCACAGCCTGGATCAGAGGCAAAGAAAACTGGGTCTCAGGGAAGTTGGGGCAGGGCCTCCACTCCCAACAGCCACTCTCCGGCGGTGCACAAGGCCTGAGCCAGCACCTCCGGCTGGGCCTGTCTCCAGGAGCCCAGTGATGCCTCCTACACCCTTGGCTCTGCTTCCATTTCACAGATGGAAGAGGGGGAGCCCAGAGGCAGCCCTGGCACCAGGACACAGAGCTGGGGAGAGGGACCCCAAGACCCTCACTAGATGGGCCTCTCTTCCTCCTGAGCTGCTAGCCATGACTGGACTCAGAGTGGAGAGCAGGGGCCGCAAGGTCCATAGGGGCCCCGGGAGCAGAGCCATGTGCCCAAGGGGGGCCTCACACTGCCTCTGTCAAATCGAGCCACAGTGCACCTGCTCGGAGGGCCCTTGCCCTGGCCGGAAGCAGGGGCCATGCACCCCCACCGCCACCAAGAGGACGCTGCCCCAGGAGGGGGTGGGGTCCTGGTCCCGCTTGTCTTGCCCTGCGAGCTTTAATAGGTGCCTGTCCCCTCTGTGCACACAGCAGATGGACCGAAGCATCTAGAGGTGACTGATGGGCTACGTCGATTTTACTCAGTTGAAGCCACCCCAAAAGAAAGGCCAGGGCCAGGGCTGGGCCCTTCTCACCTGCTTCTGAGGCCTGCTGCCCTCAGGGGGTTCTCATGGGGAGGAGGAGAGGCCATAATTAGCTGGGAATGCGGGGACAGAGCCAGATGCTGCTGCAGTTCCCAGGATGGAGACCGGCCTGCTGAAGAAGGGAGGGGTTCTCAGAGGGACCTGGAAGGGACTACGCCACACAAACATGGGCAGGGTGCAGGGCCGGCCTGGCGGGTGCAGAGGCCCGGCGGGGACAGCACTGACAGGGTGCAGCTCTCCTGGGGGTCTGCTTGGCCTAGGTGCTTAAGAACATCCTCCTGGACTCCCCCAACCCAGGAGGTGGAGAGGAGGATGCGGCAACCCGAAGGCTCAGGGGACACCCCCAAGGTCACCCAGCCGGGAAGCTGAAGAGCCTAACTCCAGCTCTGGCATCGAAGATGGGGTCCCTGCCACCCACCGCAGTGACCCAGCCGCCGTGGCCGGACCCACCTGACGTGCACTGCAACTGTAGGTCATGCGCCGGGTTCCAAACGTCAGTATGAGAAAAAGAGCAAGCTGTCCCATGGATAGCTTTTATATGGATGACATGGTGACGCTTTCAGATAAATCGGGTTGAATAAAATACATTAATTCACTTATTTCTTCTTACTTTTCTGATGTGGCTGCTAGGAATATTTAAATTATGTATGTGGCTTGCATGATATTTCTTCTGGACAGAGCTGGCCCCTACCATAAAGACAGAAAGACGCAAGACAGCTTTAAAGACAGAGACGGAAACCCTCCGTTCTTTGACGAGGAGGCCAGGGCCACGTGGGGGAGGTTCTCGGGGCCAGGTGGGCCGAATGTCAAAGACCACCGAGCCATTCAGGGCTTGCCTCCCCTCTCGTGTCCCAGCTGGGGCAGCCAGCGACAGGTGGACTTGGGCCTACGATGAGCCCTCTCCTGCCCTCCCCCACCAAACACATCACACCGTACCAGTTGTCATAGAGACAGGAATCTTCCTACAAACCGAACTCGGGGCAGGGGCGTTGGGGGAGTCTGCCATAAAGAGAGGGAGAGGGAGCCAGGCTTATCCGGAGAGGAAATCTGTGTATGTTGTTGGGTGTTGGGGGAGGGGCCGGCCGGGACAGGGAGGGACAGGCAGCCCAGGCCTGCTGTTTGCACAGGGTTTTCCGGGCCTTCCTCCCCACGGCCCCACGCCCCTCTTAGCTGCCATTCTCCATCCCCCTCTTACCCATTCACTCGAAATTTCCTATCTCGTGCTCCCATGCTGACTCTGGGACCCGAGGAGGGCTGGGCAGATAAGCTCCACAGCTCCCTGATCCCACCCCCTCCCCTCAGTCCCTGGCAGAGTCACTGTCCCTGAGAACACCAGGGAGGGATGGTCTGGGGCCGGAAAAAAACAAGCAGTAAAGTGTCACAAGCCAGAAGCAGCTCCATTCAGCGTCCAGCGGGAACTGGGAAGTCTCCCCCCAGGCCGAGGCTTACTAGGGGGCCGAGTGCCAGCCTCATTCGACCTCCTGGGCCATCTCGGAAATGGGGGGCACGGGGGCCTTAGTCTCATCTATATTCAGAAGTCCCCAGCGTTCTCTGACTTCTCCCCATTTTAGGGGGACACCTAAGCCCCCAGGTCCCAGGCAGCATGTCCGGAGTATTCTTGCTGAGCAGACCAAAGAGCCTCCCGGGCATGGCCCAGCACAGGATCTGGTGCCACAGGCACTCGCTTCCAGCTCCCTGGAATGGGAGAGAATGGAGCGCCAGGGGGTTCTGAGCGTGGGGGGTGGGGGAGGATCTCCCATCAGAGCTCTTCTCTTTAACTTGACACAAAACCCCACTCAACAGAGGAGACTGAGGCCAGGAGAAGGGAAGGGGACCCAGGGCCACACGGTTTACACCAGGACTCTCCTCTCTCCTCTCCCCCAACCTACAAAGTTCTCTTTACAGTCTATCCAAAATTCCTCCTCCTATTTCTCTCTTTTTTTTCTTTTGGTTGTTCCAGATTTTGCTAGGCTGTGCTTGGGCTGGTTCTGGGCCCAGGTGCCCTGTGTAGTCACCGCTCTTCTCCTGCAGGGAGCCCCCATGCCGGCTGGCCAGAGTGCTTTCCTCTCAAGGTTACACCATTCTCACCTAGAGGCAGGTCAGTCCACAGAAGGGCCCTACTTGCAGAGCCCTGAGAACGGGGGAGGAGGAGTGAGCAGCCAGAACCCCAGAAGCCCATCCATCCCCCCAGGGCCCAGGGATCAACCACCTCACCAACAGGAAACAGACCTAAACACTGAGACTGGTCCAAGGTCACACACCAAGCACCTGAGGGGCAAATCTGGGACTAGAAACCAGCAGGGTTATCGACCCCCACCCTATCCCCAAGGCGGGTTCCCAGAGACGCTCCCACGGGACCCCTCTCCAGCCCCAGCAGCCTGTGCCCTACCCCAGGCCCCAAGCGCCACAGAGCAGGGGGAGGCGTCTTCAGGCCTGTAGCCAGGGCCAGCTGCAAACCGCATCCTGGGTCCCCAGGCGCCGCGGACCCGCCCCGCCCCTCCCTCGGCTCCCCGCAGCCCCGAGCCTTTGTCAGCCACGCGCTCACACACAGATCCGCGCCGCCCGCGCGCACACACACCCGGTCTCCCCTGGCGCACACCCGCAAGGGGCGCGCGCACTCGCCGCTCGCACGCAGGGGAGTGGAGGCGGCGGAGGAAGGAAGGAGCTGACCCGCTAGGGCCCGACAGACCGCCCGGGCTGGGGGAAGGGGAAGAGAAGCCGGGGAACCTGCGGCTGGGGCGGGAGGGGGCGCGGAGGCGAGAACACAGAGACACGCAGAGGAGACTCTCGGAGAAGAGGACAACGGATGGGACGTCAAGGGCTGGCGAGGACGCGCGGGCTACTCTGGGGATGGGGACTCCTTTGGCCCCTGGCGGGGCGGGGCAGGGCGGGGTGTGGGGAGATAGGAGTCGGTCCGCGGACTGGACCTGTGATTGCCCCAGTTGTGCCAGAGCACTGAGCCCTCAGAAACCCCACGTAAGGTTGGAATACAGGGACCCGGGGACCAAAGGCTTCCCGGGGTGCCTCCAGGCGGGGGTCCTGGTTCTCGGGCGGGAGGGGCACCCGCTCACCTGCTACGGTGTACCTGTCCAGGTAGTTGAGCACGTTCCCCAGGCTGAGGATGGCGGCAGCTGCCCCCCGTCCGCGGCCCAGGCTGGCTGGTTTGGGCTGCTGAACGCCGGGGCCCTTGGCAGCGGCTGCGCAGCCGGGGGTGCCGGGGGCGCCGGTGGGTCCGGACGGGGCCCGCCTCACGCTGCCCGACAGCGTCTGCACCTCGTCATCGGCGGCGGCGACTCCAGCGGCGCCCACGCCCCGCGCCCCGCAGCAGCCGCCACCTCCAGCCCCTCGCGGCGCCCCCCGGCGCCGGCGCCGCCGCTCAGCGTCCGCCTCCTCCTCCTCCGCGCCGCCCGCCGCCGCCGAGGCGCATTCCAGGCACATCATGCCGGCCGCGGCGGCGGGGGGCGCGGGGGGCGCGGGGCCCAGCCCGGGGCCCCTCAGGGCGTGCGTGCACCGCGGAGCCGCCGCTGCACCATCCCGGCCGGCCCGTCGGCTCCTGCGCTCCGGCCCGGCTGCGCGCGGCCAGCGTCCCCCGATGCGCCGCCGCCGCCGGAGCGCTGACAGCTGCGGCCCGGCCCCGCCTACCGCACGGCGCCCAATCGGCGCGCTGCTCGGCCCGGCCCCGCCCCGCACGTGCTGCCCCGGGCCGCCGACGGGGGCGCAGTGCGCCGCGCGGTCGCCGGGCCGGGGCGGGCCGGGGCTCGCCCACTCCCGCGGGCGGCGTCTGCCGAGCGGCGAGAGGGTCTCGGGCGGTGGGCGGGGCGCCCAGCCGCGCGGCCCCCCGCCCTGATGGAGTCGGCCTGGGGAGAGCCCGGCCGCGTGCCCGGCGCGGGGTAGGCGGGGGCCTGGCCAGGCGCAGACCGCTGTTTGCCCACCGCCCCGGGGAAACCGCGCTCCAGCTCCTGACCTCTGCCTGGTCCCACTCCCGCGTGCGCGCCGGGACCCTCCCCGAGCCCCCCGCCCCCGAGAGGCAGCCCCTGGCAAGGGGAGCCGGGCTCCCACGGGGCCTCCCCAAGCTGCGGACTCCCAGCTGCGCAGGGAAGGGACGAACCCCGGAAGGAAGACCCCCGGCAGGCCCGCAGATCTCTCTGGGTGCCCGTCTCTCCCGCGGGTAGAGAGGAGGACAGGGTTCAGTCTGCAAGTCTGAGTGGTCGCCACCCGCTGTGGAGGAGGCCGAGTCCTGCTCCGGGGGAGAGTGGTCGAGTCACTTCCGTGTTCAGGGCCACAACCCATCTCAGAGGAGCTGTGGTTCTGTGTCCCACCCCCAGACCCAGCCCCTCCATCTGTTTGAGGCTTTGGCTGAAGTTAAAATCCCATGCCAAGTGCTGAGGGCAGAATGTCAGCACCACACAGAGCCTGGAAACCCAGAAGTACCCCATGTTTCACAGACGGGTCCCTGCGTCCAGAAAAGACCCTTTCATGGACATCCAGCTAGCTCGTGGCCCCGTTGGTGCTGACCCCGCGCTCTGATACCACCCTCCTGGGATGGGAGCTCCGTCCCCACTGAGGTCTGTTCTGGACCCCATGTCCACAGGCAGGTGCAGGTCCCACGAAAGTGTTGGCCACGGTGAGTCACAGCATACCTAAGAGGTGAGGCAGCACGAGGTACCCTCTCCCTGCTGAGAACGGAGTTAACCCCAGGCTGGTGGTATTTCTTGGCGCCTTCGAGGTGTGTTCTAAATCCTGCAAAGTGACTAAAAATATGCTTCGGTGTGTTGGGTGTGGATGACTGTCATGGGAGGGCCAGGAAACAGACTCCATTCTGAAAGTTCCTTGCTGCCTCTTTCCAGCTTGAAGCCGGATAAGGGAAATTCTGCTGGGCGCTCTGGGACGACCGGGGCTCAATAGGCCAGCACAGACCTAGGAGCTCCGTGGGGCTAGGGCTCAGTCCTGGCAGTGTCCCCTACTAACTGTGGGGGGTGCCAGCAAGGGGACAGCATCCAGCTGTGGGGCTGCACCCAGCTGTGAAGGAGACACAACCACAGCTCAAAGCACAACCCCAAGCCCCCTTGCCTCTCACCAAAGTCCTCCTCCTTCCAACCATAGCCTGCCTGGGGAGATGGTTTAAGCTCTTGACCAGAAAGGGGAGCACTTCTTTTCCAGGCCCCAGTAGGCCCAGAGCAGAGGAAGAGGTCAGAGTTTCGAGCCTTTCAAATTTGGGGCTCCTCTGAGCAGCTCTTCTTACTGTGTGGGGTTTCCTGAGGTTTTAACTCCAAGACACTCTCTAGAGCAAGTATCTGGGGGGATCCTGGGCCGCCGAGGGCAGGATGACAGGGAGGACAAGACTGGTTGGTATGGCCCTGAGCAAGTCACTGCAGTCTCCTGAGAGCCTCTGGCAGTATCAATGGACCATCAGCCAGATGACTTGCAGGGCCCTTATCTCCAGTGCCAGTGAAGAGACTGAGGCCCAGGGAAGAGAAGGGATGTGTCCAAGGTAACACGCCTGGTGAGCAAATGGACTTGCACTGAACCCAGGTGTGCCTGCCCCTGATGCAATGTGTCCTCTGCTGCCCCATGATGCTGCTCTGAGCTCCACCAGGTCCCTCCCCTGATCTCAGGGATGGCTAAAGGCCTTCCATGTTTGTGCATGATACCTGGGCCACACCAGGTTTCCTGACCGAGGAACTGGACTTTTCAGAGCCTTTAACGGAGGGCATACACTGTGAGTCTCCCAGAGGGAGGTGTAGGCTGCCGTGTCCCCATGACCCACAGAGCATCCGGTATGGTGTCTCGAGCTTTGCAGAGCATCCTCGGAAACAACAGCTTCCCCAAGGCTGATAACGGGGAGCTCGGTCCCCTCTGCCCATCCCCCAGGGCTCAGGCCTGTCTCTTCCCTTCTCAAGTGGGCACCCTCGCCCTCAGCAGGCTCTCAGCAATAACCCACGTGCCCTGGACACCCCAACCTCCATCTCTAGATGTGGCCTCATCTTCACGCCCCCCCCACCCAGATCTCCCACAGCTTCCTGAACTCAGCACAATCAGAACTGAACTCACCATCGCTCCCTTAAGCCATGCCATCCCGGTATCACTTATCTCTTGCCAAATAGCACCGTCCTCCTCGTTGTCACTGCAGAGGGCACCTGGGGCCACGGGGGACTCCTTCTGCCTCGACAACCACATCTGGGGCCTGTCCACTTTTTGTCTTCCAAACCCCAGTGTCCCGTTGCTCACTGACCCAACTCAACATCTTACCTTTTTGCAACCCAAGACCATCTGCTCCAACATCCCCCTCCAGTCTTTCCTCCTTACTTTTTGCCAATAACTTTCTAAATCACACACGGGACCTCATGACTACCTTGCACACTGCCTTTTCACGGCTCCCTATTGCCCATAGGGTAAAAACATCTAAGTTCCTTAACACAGTCTCCAAGACCCATCAGAACCCTTCATGACCCATGCCAATCTCCAGCCTCAGATCCTACTGGCCGGCTCTCAAACTTAACCCTGAACTCATGGATATCTCACTTTCCGGAGCCTGGAAGCTTACAGGAATTGGGGTGCGTGCACATAGTCTCTGGTCTCCCCTCAACGCAATGCCATTCAGGACCACGGAGAGCGTCACCTGGGAGCCCCCCTCCCCCTGCCCTTAGTCGGGCTCTGCCTCCGGGGTCTACCCAGCTCACTCCTCTCCCTTTCCGTCAAAAACCCAGCACAGATCAGGACTTCCTCCAGGAAGCCCTCCTTGACCCACCTGGAAAATGTCCTCCTCTGGGCTACTTGAGTAACCTGTGTATGCTTCCTTCCCACGAAACTCGTTGTGTTATGTTTGTACAAAAGTCTACTCCCCCCCCCAGCACACCTCACCCCCCCAACCGTGAGCCTCAGGGGCCCGTACCCCATCTGATTCCTCCCCACAGCCCAGTGCAGAGGAGGTGCTCGGAGCATGTTTGTTGATTGAATGAGTAAATGACATTTAGCAGGTGCACAGGAAGGGTGTGTTGATTTGCATCGAGTTCCCTGTTGCTCTGAGTGACTCACACGCCACCAGATTCCTCTCCTGGCCCCTCTAGAAGAGGTATTTTCTCCCTGACGGACTCTACCCTCCATCAGCATCCATGTGCCATTTGCCTCCACCCTCTGATTACCTTTCCCACAGATCAGCACCCAGCCCCGGGGAGATGGCAGCCCCCCTCGGCTCCCGCCGTTGCCGTCCAGGGGACTTGTCCAGTCTGCTCCATCCCCCAGCCTGGGCCTGCCTCGCGAGTTCTGCTCAGAATGCTCTGTCCCTGCCTCTCTCTCCTGCCCAGAACAGATGGCTGAGTCCCCACGAACACAGAAGTCCCTGTTCTGTCATTTGAACATTTTTAATGCTTTCTAAATGATCGAAGCTTCAGTCTCCTCTGATCGGGAACTCCGACTATCAGAAACAAAGGATCCCTTGAAGGACTCTGAGCCCAGCTTCTTCCCGGTCCCGGTCCCGCCAAGAGGCTGCATCTGAGAGGGGGCCCGTGGCCTGCCCAAGATGGTTATGATGGACACCGTCTCTGCTTGTGTTTGTTTCCTTTCACTGCTGTTTTGTTTTGATATTCAGAGTCTCTCCCCCCTTCCCAGCAGCACCCTGGTTTCCTGGGCTTAACGGAGCTAAAAAATGCCCAAGGGTCCCACTGGACTCTCTTGCCCCAGGCTTTAAATCCTGAGTGGGGTGGCAAGAAAACGGGGAAGCTTGTCTGGCACTTTGGGGACAGTCCCCTGGAAGAGGGCTCCCCTGAACTCAGGGGTGGCTAAAGGCCTTCCACATTTGTGCATGATGCCCGGACCACACAAGGTTTCCTGACCGAGGGGCTGGACTTTTCAGAGCCTTTAACAGAGGACGTACACTGAACCCGGCCTCCTGAATCTGGACTGTGTCCCTTAATTCTCTGAGCCCCAAATATGCTTCCAGCAAATCCCTCCCTTGCCCAGCATGACCACTCAGCTCCTTCTGCACACAGCCCCCCAGCCCCACCGGACAGAGTCGCACAGAGGGGGCACACTTTCTTGTGTTACGGGGAAAGCTTGGCGCCAGCAACACCCCTCAGCACCCCCCGCCCGCCAGCTCTATGTCGAGAGGCCGCATTCAACCCAACTGTCCACATTCCCGCTCAGACGGGGAGGAAAGGCGGGCACTCCAGGGGATGGGACAGAAACACCCGTGTCCGGTGTTGCAGGGACACCATCTCGAGGGTTGGTGTGACCATCTCAAGGCGCGTGCCCCACCATCCAGGCCTGAGGGCCGTGTGGAAGAAGAGCGGACCCGCCGCCGAGCCTCCCCTGCTGGCCCACAGACGCAGAGAAGAGCACACGCGCACACCTGCGTGCCGTGATGACACCTGGGAGCTGGAAAGCACGTGTTGTCTGGCACGAGCCGTGAACTCGCGGAGGGAGTGGGTCGAGCTTGAGGGCCTGGGCCTGCTGACCGTACACGCCCCACGAATGAGGCTATCAAGAGTCTCCAGGCCTCCGGGATTACTCAGAATTGTCCTTTAGGCCAGACAGGTGTGATGGGTTGGCCACTCCTCCGCTCGGCTGAGCGGCTGGGCACCTGTGGCCCCGGGGCGGCAAGGCCTGAGTGACCGCCTGGTGAGACAGGAGTGTGGGAGTGTGAGCAGCTGGCCAGGACAGCCAGCAGAGCAGGCCCAGTCTCTCACCTCCCAGAGGCCGCCAGCCCAGGCCCCCACCCTGCCCCCAAACTTGAGATGAGAACATCGTAAACTCCAAGCTGGTCATTCTGTCCAGCTCAGTCCCAGCCAGCCCCACCCTGCCGAGCCCAGTGACCCAAACCCCTGGATGCACTGAGTCAAGGAACCCCGGGTTCAGGACTCGAGTCCCAGTCCCAGCCAGTCTCTCCTGCCCCCAAAGCAAACAGCCCCACAGGACCACAGAAGCCTTCTGCCTTCCCTGCCCCGCACCTTGGTCGGGCCCACCCTCTCCTGGGGGAGTGCCCTTCCCTCACACCTTCTTCTGCTGTTGGCCAGCTCCCCCCAACCTGCGCAGAGGCTCTCGGGGGACAGAACCCCTTCCTCTGCCCACAGGGGTGGTGTGCCTCACCTGGCCTGGCGTTTCCCTGCCTGTGTCGGGCTGTGAGGTCCAGGGGCAGGGTCGGATCAACATCTCCGTCCACCACCTGTTTCCGATCATCCTCCCTAGCCGCTGGACGCTGGCGTGGGGGAGGTAGGGTGACCATTCTGACTCTTGGGAGCCTCTCAGGGCTCCTTTCCAGGGGTGCAGGGTGGAAGGGTCAGGCCTCGGAGCAGGGCTTCCGCGGGCCTCGGCCCAGCCTGTAAGAATCGCACAATGGGGGCTGGAAAAGCCACACTCAACACCCCTCTTAACACACAGCTGGGAGTGTGAGGCACAGGAAGCGTCCCAGGTCACAGCCGGTGCTGCCCAGTGGGTCCTTGGCATCCTGCCCGCCCCCCAGACTGGGCGTCTCCTTCTCAGCAGAAACCGAGTCTGACCGGGGACTCACACGTTTGGTCTTCATCTGTTTCCGCACAGAGCTCCTAAAACCCTTGGAATTTCCTCAATGCTGAGAGACCTAAAGGTGCCTTTTGTTTGTTAATGAGGGGGCATTTGGGCCCCACGTAAGGGGGGCTGGTGGCCGGGAGAACTCCCAGTTCCTCCCCCTGACCTCTGGCGACAGATGGCGGATGGGCTGGAGGTTGAATCAATCACCAAAGCCAATGGGTTAATCAATGGTGTCTGAGTAATGAAGCGTCCACGAAAGCCAACAGCAACAGGGTGGGTGCGTGGGGATGCGGGTGGGTGGGCTCCTGGAGGGGGCGCCACTGCTCTGCCCCTGCCCCGCAGCGCGTCCTGGCCCTCGCTTCCGCCAGCCACTCCTGAGTGGTGCCTTTTAGTATAAACCGGTGATCTGGCGAGGAAACGGGCTTCCTGGGCTCCGTGAGCCGCTCTAGCCGATTAACAGAACCTAAGGGGGGCTCGGGGGCCTTGGATTTTTGCCCCTGGCCACTCAGGGGTACAGCTGACGACGGGGACCTATGCTTGGCCCGTCCAGTGGGCGGGGCTGGGGGAGCAGCTTTGTAGGACTGAGCCCTTCCCGGGCGGACTCTGACCCTCTCTCAGGGTACACAAGGTCAGAAACAAGTTGGGGGTAGGAGAAAACTGCTTGGAGATGTGGGAACCCCTGCGTACAGTGTGACTGGGTGTAGGCTATTCCTCACAAGTTCAGGGGCAGCCCATTTTGTGAGCTCCAAGGGTGAAACTGTGGGTGAGGGGCTGCTCAGCCTCGGGGTAGCCACTCCTGAGGGTTAGGGCTGAGGACGGGGGGCTGAGCCGGAGGGTCCAGCACCCAGAGCTCGCCCTCCAGCAGTAGGGGCAGGGAGGCGAGCACGGAGCCAGCAAGGGTCAGGAGGGGTGCGTGAGTCTGGTGCCGGGAGGCAGGCCTCCGCTGGCCAGGCCCAGGGGAGGGGGAGAGATGCTCCTGCCCCTGGGGCAGGAAGAACACGCCTCCCCAGCGCTGCCGGCCTGGAAGCTGCTGGGCTCCTGCTGCGCCCAGCTGCTCCAAACCCAGCGGCCAGCGAGTCCCACAGAGCCAGCCCGGCCCACACGCTGTGCCCCAGGGACGGAGCAGTCTCCCCACCCCAGCCTGGTCCTAGGGCAGCTGAGTCCCTGCGGGGTCCAACATGCCTCCCCTGGGGGCTTGAAGTCACAGCAGCACCAGAGTGGAAGCCCCCCTCCGAGACTGCCCCCCGCTTTCTGTTCAGAGGGTGACCCGGCAAAGGAGTATGCCCTGTGCCCTCCTGACCCACAGAGGGAGTGGTCCTGGCTGGGGAGCAGCCCTCCTCTTCCTCTCCTGCCCCCACTCCCAGCAGAGACACCTGGAAGCTCTGAATAACTTGGTTGTTCAGAAATCCGTGGGCTTTGTGCCGGCCATGCTTGAATCAGGGCCCAGGGAACCAGGCGCAAGGCCCCAGGCTGGAGCTGCCCAGGCTTCCCGCAGAGGGCGCGGACAGCTCAATCCACAGCCCACAGGCTCGGCCAGCGCCCGGGCCGGGTGTGAAGCTGCAGCAGGTGCGGCTCAGCCGGGGTCCTGGAGCCTGGGCCAGACGGGCGCTGGGGCAGTAAGGCAGCGGGGCCGGAGGGAGGGGTGCAGCAAGGGGAGTGGGACCTCCTCGCCAGGCGTGGGGGCCTCAGAGGTCCTTGGCGATGGAACCTGTGCCGGAAAGCAGGGCTTGGCTCTCGGCGTCCTCGCTGTCGGGGGTCCCTGTGGGAGGGAAGGGGAGGCTGAAGGTGCCTTGGGACCAGGCCAGGAAACCCCTCACTCCTGCTTTCAGAATGCACTCCGGATGCGACTTCTTCTCCTCACCTTCAAGGCCACCCCCAAGGTCCCAGCCCCACTGCTTCCCCTAATGACACAGAGTATCCGGTGGCCCCCCTGTTTCTACGCTGACCTCCCCAGTCTGTTCTGCACACAGCAACCACAGTCGTGCTTTCGCACTATAAATAAAACACCTCAGGGCCTGTCTACAGGAAACGACACAGGGGCTCCCTCTCAAAGTAAAAGCCATGGTCCCTACAAGGCCCCCAGCTGCCTGCTCTGGCCTCATCCCTACCATTGATCCCCTTGCTCCCGCTCCAGCCACAATGGCGTCCCTGCCAGGCCTCAGACACGTCAGTCACAGACTCACCTCAGGGCCTTTGCACTGGCTGTTTGTTTGCCAGGAGCCCCTTCCCCCCAGAGAGCTGCATGGCTTCCTGCCTCCACTCCTCCAAGCCTCTGCTCCCAGGTCACCTGTGCATCGAGGACCTTTAGGACAATCTTTCAAGAGCTGGAAGCCACGCCCACATGTTCCCCCTCCCCCCCTGGTCTACTTTACGCCTCTCTGTACGTAGCAATGATCACCCTGAACGTACCCTGTCTTCTACTCTTCCTGTCTGTTTCTCGTCTGTCTTTCTGCCCTAGAGCACCCTGGGTGTTCACCCCCCGCATCTGGCACATAGCTGGGGGGACGAGGGGGTTAATGGCCACTTTTGAACAAATGGACAAATTAACAAGTGAGATTGCTCGGGGCGGCCTGTGCCGCTTGCTCCCGTGAGGCACAGCCCTGAGCCTGGCACAGGGGTGAGGGCTAGGGGTACCTGTGCCAGGCTGCCGGGCCCGGGCCTGGTCCGTCTCCAGCCGCAGCGCGGTCAGCAGGAAGCAGCCGCCCCCCAGGGCTATGACGAAGGCGCAGGCCAGGAAGCTGTGCTGGAGGCTGAGGAAGGACTGCAGGTAGGAGTCACGCCGCGCAGCCCTCAGGGTGCTGGAGATCTGCAGAGACAGGCTGCGTCTGCCTGCCTGCCTGCCGGCCTGCAGCGGCTGTCCCCGCCCCCGCTGGGAACCCTCCCCTTACAAGTCCAGTGAGGTAAGGGCTGCCGGCGTCTCCCAGGATGTGGCCCACTGTGATCTGAAGCGCCTCGGCTGTCCCCCGGCACCGGGGCACCACCACGGACTGCAAAACACAAGGGCGTCAGGGGAGCTCCCGAGGAGGGCAGCGCGCGGGCGCCCCTCCGTCCCGCCTCCTGCTCCTGCCTGGACCGCCCGGGAGCTATGGCAGGCTGGCCAAGCCAGTGGGACCACGGGGAGTCAGCAACGCCCCACTACCGGGACATCAGGCCCCTCCGAGGGCTGGGGATGCCATGGTCCAGGATGAGGCCCCACTCCTCATGGGCTTGCTGCGGGGCTGGCAGGGACCAGGCCGGGCTGGGACTCAAGGGACGGGGCATCCCAGCTCAGGGCGAGGAGGCAGGAGTGCAGGCCCGCATGGGCACGCGTGGGTGTCCAGACGGGGCCCAGAGGGCCGGGCCCTTCTCCCAGGAAGTTCAAGCCACACTGGGCAGAGACCAAAGACAGCCCTGTTGGAGAGACCCCCACGCCACCCCTGGAAGAGGGTATGAATTCTGGAACAGAATGTCTGAGCTCCAATCCCAGACACCCCACTCACGAGCTGTGTGACCTCAGGGTCTGCATCCCCAAACAGGGGTACTCAGAGTACCTACTGGGGGACAGGTTCATTACCATTCTTCCTGTGGACAGCAGACCGAAATAATGCCCCTGACCCCAGAACACTTCCAGACCCTTCTGCCTGGCCAGCCTTCCCCGTTCTGGCCCAGCTGGAGCATCCCTACTTGTCCTTCAGGACGGACATTCCCAGATTTCGGGGGCCTGCCCTACAGCCCCTGTGTGTACCCCAACTGAACGTGCACCCCCTACCCTGTCCTCCCCCTACTCCCACACTGTCTGGGCAGCAAGGTCCCCGTCCGTGTTCTCTCACGCTCCCTGGAGCACAGCAGGGCGCCAGGCTCAGAGGGGACCTGCCGAAAGTCAGCCAAGCGGACGAGCCCAGTAGAACCCAGCCGGAAGCCAGGGGAGGGGTTCAAGCAGCAGCCACACAGTCCCAACAGGAGGTACTCCCCCCAGAGCCCCTTCCCCAAGACCTAGATGTCCATAACCTGAGCCCAGGTGAAAAGATGGAACACATGTAACGTGGATGAAATGTCTCCTGTCTGCGTCTTATAGATCTCCCGCACATCTACATCCACTCAGCCACGCCAAGAGGGAGGTAGGATGACAATCCCTGTGTCACAGATGAGGGAACTCTCCCTGGGAAGGGTGGGTCACCTCTCCAGGTCACCCTGCCAGGAAATAGCCCGGCCCACTCCTCCAGGATCTGGCCGTCTACCGCTTTGCTGTTACGAGCAAGGAGGAGCCTGTCCTGTGATCTCTGTGCACTGTGGGACGCTTGGAAGGCAGAGAGAAGGACAAGCTCAGCTCTGCACGCAGCTGAGGCAGAGGGAGGGGGAATGGGTGATGCCGGGGGCCCCGGGCCAAACACTGAGCCACTCTGTCCAGGCGGCCAGAGAACTTGGACCTGCCCCCCCCGCACCGGGACCTGCCATTAGGCCAGAGAAGGAGCTGAGCTCAGCTTTGCACCAGCCCCTCGTGCCTCCTTCTTGCCCATACTTAGGGGATTACGCACCACTGGTCCTGGAGGGTAGGCCTCAGGGAAGTCCACACCAGCGGCTTAGACCCTCGGTCAGGTCCCTTCCATGCCCCTGGGAAGTGCTGGGCCCAGACCAGCCGCTTGCTATCGGGGGGCAGGAGTGGTAGGTCCCCAACCTGTTCTGTCCTGTTGCCACCAAATGACACCGGTGGGGTGGGGGGAGCAGGCAAAGCTGGCAATTTTAGAAGGACAAGCTTTGGGCTCCTAAAACGGCAGGCCCACTTTATTCTGAGACAAAGCACCTCTGTTTCTGACTCCCCTTTCTCAGAAGAGCTGTTCCCTTTGTAGCCTGGGGCATAACCCACATCGGCCAAGGGCCCACAGGACGTCAGAGCGGCAACCACCAGGTACGCACTCCCTGGCAGCCTGCCTCCTGTGTTCCCCACTCAGCCCCCACAGCCAGCTGCGCTGGGGAGGGTGGGATGGGCGGGTGGGCAGAACAGGGAGGCACTGAGAGTACGGGATGCAGAAAGAGCGGGACGGTGATGCCCTCAGGGGGCAGAGGAAACTGGCAGAGGAGGACCCCAGAGGACCGACCTGACCTGGGAGAGATGGTGAGTTCCACTTCTGCTCTACTCCCTAAGAGCCTAGCTCCAGGCCCCCCTCGTGGGCCTCGCGAGAGAGCTGGAGACACCATTAGTCAGGGATGCAGGGAGCTCAGCCCGGGGGGACACGACCCCCACCTCCCAGGGAGCAGGACCCTCCAGAGAGGGGCTGCTGGAGGTGGGTGAGGGAGCCAGACCCTTTCCCTCATGAGCCTTCAGGAGGCAGGGGCTTCTTGGGGCTCAGGGGGTGAGCCTCCCGTCAGAGGGTTATGGGATCAAGGACGGAGCCTGCAGGGGGTCCGCGGACTGGGGAGCCGGCTGTGTCAGAGAGGTGTTCTCCCCGGGTGCTCTGAGGAGCGTCCCTATCAGGAGCGCGTGGGACGTTTGCGTCCTGAGGAAGCAGAATTTGTAAGGAGATCCCCACACCTGGTTCCTACGCTCACTGAGGTGCCACAGCCCCTGGCCCAGCCAGCCCCTGAGATCTCTGCCCCAGGGCGAGCCTGGGTTCTCCTTGTGCACCGGAGGGCCAGAGAGCAGGCTGTCTGTCGTGGGCTGATGCCAGGCGACCCTCAGGATAGGCAGGGCAGGCAGCCAGCTGTTGGACCACGGGGCCTCCTGCCCTCCTGTGCAGGCTTCTAGCCCGGATCCCACCCCCGCTAGACCCCTCTTGCGGTCCCACCCTCCCTGCCCCTGAGGAGCCCCCTGCCGGAGTGCTGGAAACCAGCTTCCTCCGATCCTCGATCCTCGGGGCTCCAGCTACCCCCAAGCCCCCTCCGTGCCCAGCTGCTTGCACTCAAGGCCTCTGTCACCTTCCACACCTGCCCCTCCGCGGCCCCCCACAGCCTGTCCCCCGCCTGCCTTCGGCCCAAGAGCACTCCCTCCTGGAGCCTCCCCACTTTCTCTGAGCTCCAAGGACTGCAAGGATCAGTCAGCTCAGACCCCCGCAGGGTCTAAAGGCGACCTTTCACTGAGGGGCTTCCGGAAGGGGGGGCAGAAAGCTTTCCTGGGGTGGAGAGACTGGCTGCCTCCAAGCCCAGGGAGGACTGCAGGGAGCACAGCCCCCTGGGCAGCTCCAGACAGCTCCCCAGCAGAGCCAGCCAGGTCAGGCCACGGCTGGCTGGCCCTGACCCCCACACCCCCGCGCCTCCCCTCCCCTGCCCCTAGCACAGGCACAGCCCTGCAAAGGTCCTGGAGGTTAATCATTCCTGCAAACACAGACACCGGGTGGGGAGGGGGGACACGGGTGCTGTCCTCGCATATCTGCAGGGCTGCCATGTGGAAAGCGGGCGGCATTGTGGGGTGGAGGAAGCTGCAGGGGTGGGTTCCCAAGATGCCAGTATGGGGGGTAGCTAAGGTCCCCGAGCCTAAAATGGGCAGCCCCAGGTTAGATGTTGGCCGGCACATTCCCGAGTACGGAGAGCTCTCCTGAAGGCCACCGGGCTGACCCTACCAGGCTGGTCATGAACACTTCTCTTCACAGGAAGGAAACTGAGGCCCAAGGCCGTTCATTGCGGCCAAGTCTGGGCAGGAGCCCAGGTCCTCTGCCTGGAGGGAGGAGCAGAAAAGACCCACCAGTCCTGCAGCTGATACACCTCCAGGGCGTCAAAGGGCAGCACTGTCCACACCCACTGAGCCTGGGCTGTGGAATGGGGGGCGGAATGTCTAGGCAGGGAGTGAGCCTCTCCATCAACAGCAGTAATCAAGCAGGCCTGCATGGCCCTTTCAAACTCAGCTTTGAGGGCACAGGAGTCCTTGGGCAGCCAGGAGACGGAACGGGCAGAGCCGTGGCCAGCACCCCTGTCACATCACACCCGTAATAACCCACGAGTATCTCACCCCATTGTCCGCATGGGGAAACTGAGGCCCAAGACACAGAGTGGCTTGCCCATGTCACAGGCGGCTAGGAAATGGCAGAGGCGAGGCTGAAGTCCAGGTGTGGGCCAGGCCCTGGCCCCAGCTGCCTCAGGACTGCGCTCAGCCCATCGCCAGGCTCCCTGGCTCTCCTGGGTGTGGGCTGCACTATGCCAGCCCTCCAGGAGGCAGGAGGAGGCCCAGGTCTGGGGCCCTGAACAAATCTCGCCAGCATCCAAAGTCCTCCCCTGACGTCTCCTGGCGGGAGGCAGGAGGCTGGACAGGGAAGCTGACGGAGAGCACGAGGCTCGTGAGGGCCACACCACACTCTGGGCAGAGCAGCGTCACGTGCTGGGCTGGCACCAGCCGCATTTCAGCCCGAGCCGGACCCACCCCCCCAGCTCGGTGGCTATCACCCTGAAGTCCCCCATCCCCGTCCACATGCCCAGAGCCCAGGCCACAGAGCTGGCTTGCTGAGAAGTGCGGTCAAGGAAGAGGGGGGGCTTGAGACCCAGCCTGGGCTCCTGTTCTGGCTCGGTGCCTTTGCATGCTGTGTGACCTTGGTCTGGGCACGGCCCTCTCTGAGCCTCCACCTGCTCATCAGCAAAATGGAGATGATGGTCAGTAGATATGTTTGAGAGTACCAGGATGACCTTGGTCCCCTACCCCACGGTCTCAGAAGGTCCTCCCAGCCCTGAGCCAGACTCCAGCCCCCTCCCCTCAAGAGGCCCCGGGACCAGCCCCCACACCTACCAGCAGGATGTCAGCAACCACCGCCCAGTTGCAGGACAGAAGCAGCTCCCCGAGGACCAGGAACACCTGTGGACAAGGACCCCAGTCACCAACACCCCCTGCATTGGTTCTTCCCGCCTGCAGAGAGACAGGGGCAGGCGAGATTGGTGGGGGAAGAGAGGCTGAACCCCGTCTGTAGTCCCGGCGGCCTCCAGGGTGGGTCGACCCTCCCGTCTGGGCAGGCTGCCAGCCAGGACCCAGGGGATGGGGCCGGGCCCCGAGCCTTGATGAACAGCCCCCAGGCCCAGGCCTTGAGGTCCTGCCTGGGGCCCAGCAGGAGGGGCCAGGACTTCTAGGCCCCGTCCTGCACCACCACCCCCGCCCTGCCACCTGCCCCACCCCAGGGTCTGCCGGTGACCGGGGCAGGGGGGTGGCCACTGTGGGCCTGTCTTGCCCAGCCCCCCGAGCCCCCTGCCCCATGCCAGGGGATTAGGACAGCCTTCATTCCACTCACTCAGGAAGAGCTTAATGAAGCAGCAAGAAGTGGGGGGAAAGTCATTTCTCAGAGCTTCCAAGAGCTTATTGCTGGAGCGGAATTAGTCATTCCTGGAGTCACGGGGCTGTGCCCAGGGCAAACCACGCTCTGGTTCCCGGAGGCCAGCAAACACCCAGGGCAGAGGAAGTGCAGGAGGCTGGCTTGCGCCTCCCACACCCCAGCCACGTCCACCGTCACCCTCTCGGCCACCTGCATGGTCCAGGGTCATTACACCCAGCTCCCAGGCCTAGACACCAAGCCCCTTTCTGGAGAACCTCACTCCTGCCTCTGGCCTTCTGCAAGGAGAAACTGGCTGAGGGGAGTCAGAGGGAAGCCCAGGACGGGGCGGCCTTGTGGGGAGGTGGCATGGAGCCCAGAAGAAGGGGCAGGATTCCCCAGGAGGCAAGCAGCTGGAATACGGACCCCCATGCTGGGGGGACCCCCGTGCTGGGGGCAACAGAGCGAGCTCCCTCAGTGCAACCAGCCCCCGTCTCCACCCAGACCGAGGACCTCTGCAGCCCGGGGCTGGGCACCCGCAGGCTGGGGATCGGGAAGTCGCTGGGGCAGGTCTCAGACCCACATCTCAGCCTGACGGGGTCCCACCCAGGCCTTCTGCGGCCACATGAAAGCCAGCTCGGTCTCATGGCCCTCCCTGAGCCACCTGGATGGTCGTCCGTCCTGTACTCACACCCCGCACCCTGGGCAGGGTGCCCGTGTCTCTTCCCGGCTCCCCCACACCCACAGGACTGAAATATGCCTTCTCCTTCCTCCAGCTGGAGCAGGGTGGAGCCCGACCTCAGAATAGAGCCTGCGGAGGGAGGCCGCGGCCACAAGCCACCAGGGGTGCCAGGTTTCCTGAGACACACCTGGAAACCGCCTGGCCACCCAACTGCCCAGTGCAGCTTGGCAGGGCAAAGGCCGGGTAGGGAGTGGGGAGCGGCTGTCTCCTGGCCTCTTAATTACACAGGCTCCCCAGGCACCAGGAGGGCTCGCCCAAGAAGGGGCGGCCACGGCCCCACCTGCCTTGCCCAGCGACCCTAGGAGGTCACCACTCTCTGGGCCTTGCTTCCCCCGACCCAGAGGGCAGTGGGCTTCCCTTGTGCCCCTGTGTCCCCCGTGGGCTGCGTGCAAATGGGGTCTTGGAGCTCAGGGGCTCCCGTGGCCGACTCAGACTCAAGTGAACACCCCAACCAAAGGGCCCCAGTCTGACCGGCTGTCCAGCCCCAGGACCTCCTGGATGCCCTCCTATGCCCAGAGGGCCCCGGGCACCTCTCATCAGCTGGTCCTGAGCTCTGTCTCTCCTCCCGGCTGCCACACCCCGGCATTCACCCCGTGCAGCCGCGCCAGCCAGGACAGACCCCAGCACAGGCTGCCCCCAGCAGCCCGCCGTGGCTGCCTCTTGTCTGGGAAAGCCTGCTGCATGCGGTCACCTGAGCTGGACGTGGGGTGGGGGTCCTCCAGGCTTGCTGTCCACTCTGCTCCCTATCATCGCTCAGATCGGCCCCCCTCCTGCCACGGCTGACCTGCTCCAGGCCTCCCTCTCCTCCTCCCCAGTTCCCAGGCCCCACCATGCCTCCCGACCCTGGCCCCCAAGGGGACTGGCAAAAGGGAAATCTGACCCTGCCCTTGTTCCCTCAGCACCTGTGCAGCGCCCCGCACCCGACTCATGTTCCTGGGAGAGAGGGCCTGGCAACGCTGCCTGGAGCCCCCCAGCCCCTGGCTTCCCCGTTTCAGACCCAAGACGGCCCCTGGGGCTGGAGCAGTGATGATGAATGTCCCAGCCTTAGTCACCCCGGCCAGAGACACGTGCTCACACCCGTACGCACCTGCCATGACTCACGCACACGTTCTCACACACTGCAGCCACACGAGTGTGCACAGATGCACATGTGTGCAAGACCTCACCATGTGCACACCGTGTTTGCACACGTACGCGGACACGCATAACCTGGGACACACAACTCACACCGCAAGCATGCGCTGCGTAGCCAACAGCGATGACTCAGAGCATTGCTGCGTGTGGCATGTGCTGGCAGACAGCGGCGTCCGAGCAGGCCAGACAGCGGCGTCTGTGCCGGGACGGGCCTGCGGGCGGGTGAGCGGGTTCATGTGTGTTCTGGTGGCCTCGCGGACGTGCACACCTCTCCTCGTGCACACACAGGTGGGCGTGGGGAGGGAGCGGGAGGGAAGGCAAAATGCCTACGGGGAGGGGGTGCTCAGCCTGGAGGTGGGGAGGGGCTGTCGTCCTGCAGCGGCCGTAACTGAGCTCTGAACTGCACGGATCCTAGGCCTCGCCAGGAAGGGGGATGGCAAGCAAGCATCCCCCATGGGCTCCGAAGACGGGGACAGAGCTCAGACCCGAGCTTCCCCTCCCTCGGACCAGCTCCATGCCCTGTGTGGCTAAGCTGGGCATGACAGGCCCCGGCACACGCTGGCCGCCAGCAAGCTGCCGGGCTGGCGCACTCTGCCCCTGGGCCTGCCAACCAGTAATTGCAGGGACTGGCTTCAGGGCGCAAGGGTCCCGCTCAGTTCCTGGGGGGCCGGCGGCCTGGGAGGCAGGTAGGCGGGGAACGAGGCCATGAGCAGGCTGGGTTCTGCCATCCTCCTGGAAGACTCAGCAGACTGCGGCCCTCTAGGTGGGCATTGCTGCCTGTCCAAGAAGAGACACCTGCTAGATCCTGGTGGGGGGGTGAGGCACGGCCCTCAGAGGAAGGGCAGGTGGTCCCTCTTGGTCTCTCCACACAGCCCCTGGCAAGGCCGGCTGCTCCAGCTCAAGATGCAAGACAAGGAAAAGCCCTCCCAGGACAGGGTTGTTGGACGGCCCCCCAGAGCTGGGGCACCTGCACAGCCCAGCTGCCAGGCCACCCCAGCGGCCAGAGGCTCCTCAGCAGCCCCTGACCATAGCTGTGGTGGCCACACATGGTGGCTGAGCCTGCCACCCGGCGGGACAGATCCCGGAGCTCCTCCCGGCGGGACAGATCCCCCCATCCCGGGTCCTTGCTCTGGAGTCCTCAGGGCTGAGGGGGGTGGCATCCCCTACCAGAGGGTGAGGCCGTGGTGACCGCTGAGCGGGCACCTGGAGCGGGGTAGAGACTCCGAGTTTGGATCTCATTCAGGCTGGAAGGGGCCTTACCCATCGTCTGGGGCAACTCCCAGGCACAGACAGAGGGCTGGACGGTACCATTGACTTCCCTTCTCCCCAGAAGGGAGAAGGAGTGAGTCGGAAACAAATTGTTTTTCACCCAAGAACAAAACCTAATGGCACAAACGTGGCATACTGGTAGCCGAGTGAAGAGAGAGACAGACAGTTCTGGAGGGCAGAACTTCTCCGCCCAGCCTCCCCGAAGCCCCCACCACTGGGGGAGTAGACTGAGTGGGAGTCCTTCATTCCCACTCCTAACTGGGCACCAGTGGGGGGCTGCTGGGGAGAAGTGGGGAGAAGCAGAGAAGGTGAGTGATGACCCCATTCTGTTCGAGGCCAGAGAGGCTCACAGGGAAGGTAGGTAGGAGGACTCTGTGCGCACCAGAGCTTTGATCTACCTCCCAGAGGCCGCCGGTGCCAGACGTCAGACGAGGACTCCCAATGCCTGACCGGAACCCCAGAGAAGCCTGGGGCCTGACCGGAACCCCAGAGAAGACTGGGACCTGACCGGAGCCTGACCGGAACCCCAGAGAAGCCTGGGAGAGCCACTCCACGGGGTCAGAGCAAGCTCAGCAACACAGCAGAGCCCACGCCCAGGCTCAGCACAGAGACGGAGAGGAATGAGAAGGGCAGAGCAGACCGGGACTCCCTTATCAACGGACCTGGCTGGCGTCTTCCCAGCCCACACATTTGAAGGCGTGAACGGCTGGGAGACAGAGGCTCACACGGCAAGTACCAGCAGCCAGGAACCGAGGCCCGAGGCCCACGACACACAAGGGTCTGAGAGCTGCCAACGACCACCCCATGAGCCTGGGCATGGGTCCCTGCCCCGTCGGGCCTTCAGATGACACTGTGGACCCTGGGCCAGCACCCACCTCAGCCTGGGGGAGACTGTGAAGCAGAGGGCCCCGCCAGGTCCGGCCCAGTACCTCACCCCAGAGGCTTGGAGACAGCACGCATATTGTCTTAAACGGCCGAGTTCAGGGTGATTTGCTACACAACACGAGATAACTCATTCACTGACTGGGACACTGAATTTCAAGAATAATTAATGAAATCTTCAGATATCCAGCTGGGAAAAAGAACCAACATTTTTTTAAACGTTAGGGTAACTAGGGGCACCTGGGTGGCTCCATCGGCTAAAAGTCTGACTCTTGGTTTGGGCTCAGGTCATGTCTCATGGGTCATGAGATGGAGCCTGCGTGGGGCTCCGTGCTCAGTGGTGTCTGCTTGATGTTCTCTCCCCTGCCCCTTCCCGCACTCATGCTTACGCTCTCTCTCAAATAAATAAAATCTTTTTTAAAATTTAGGCTAACTTTATCCTCCATAGCAATATTTGAGCCAAAACACAAGAGAAGGAATGCAAAGTGACAGAGAAGGAAACTGATCCCAGGGTATCAGAGCCAGTCA